CCTTTTTTATTTCAATTCCAACTTTGGTCATGAAGAATATGTTTCTCTGTTGTCCACGTTCATAAAGCATAAAACAACAGCATCAGAGCACGGTGCAGAGTCTCTAGATGAGTTTACAGCAGTCTGTCGTTCTTATTAAACATCCATGTTGTAGTCCATTGTATAGAAAAATGTAGTTTCCATAGTTTCACCACAGCAGCAGACGCACATTCATGACGTCCGCTGGCGCATCATAAACACGTTGGATAGTGAAAGTGCAGTCGGATTCTCTAAAGTCGAATTCTCCTATNTTCATGCATATTTTACTAATCACTCCCCCTCTCAAAATGGAAATATGTGTTTACATAAATGGTGCCAAACCATTTGAGACCCACTGAGATAACTCACCTGAGCTGTAGTTATCTCTCAAGGCTCATCCCAATACCCCTCCTCAACTTCTCTCTTCCCCTCCTCCGGGACTTGACCCGGAAATCGATCAAGACACGCCATGTTGAAGGACGTCCCAATAGCTGAAATGCACACGGAGGAGTCGAGGGTTGCGTTCCGATAATCCAAAAATCAGCTCCTAAATTCTAACCCTATCTCCTATCCCTTGACCTCTGTGTGAAACGTCACAGGTTAAGGGATAGTGGATANCGCCATTTTGAAGGACGTCCCAATAGCTGAAATGCACACGGAGGAGTCGAGGAGGGGTGAGGGAGGAGGGGTGCGGGAGGAGACGAAAGGGAGGATACAGTGTATCCTCCCTTTCGTCTCCTCCCGCACCCCTCCTCCCTCACCCCTCCTCGACTCCTCCGTGTGCATTTCAGCTATTGGGACGTCCTTCAAAATGGCGTGTCTTGATCGATTTCCGGGTCAAGTCCCGGAGGAGGGGAAGAGAGGAGTCGAGGAGGAGTATTGGGATGAGGCTCATGTCTCATTCCAGGTCCCTTTACTTCCTGCCTTGGTTATTTTTCCTGCCAGCGTCTGCCCCGCCCCTGATTGTTTCCACCTGTGCCCACTTACCTCATGTAGAAATTGTCCTCTCTCCCCTTGTCAGTTGCCAGTTCGTCTTGTTCGTCGTTCCAAGAAGCCAGATCCAAGCCATCGTTTAAGAGACTCAGTGTTTTGCCTTTTTATCGTCCATGTGAGCGCGTTACTTTGACATTTTGTTATATCCTCTGAAAGAGCGATTTTGTTTTTTTAAAGATGATTTTCTTCAAACCTTTTTTGTCTCTGGGTTGTGCATTTGAGTCCTCATACTATTGAGTCAAGGTTCCTAACAAAAACAACGTGTCTTTGAGGCCAGACGGATCCAGCCCCAGTCTGTCTCAGAGCTCTGAACTGAACTGAACTGAGAGTGAGACACATTATCCACCTTCTGCAGGCTCCAGTTACCTTAAAGAAGCTCATCTCTGTTTCCCTAACTGTATATTTAGAAGAACATCACATACTGTGCAACTCACATGGCACATTCCAAAAATCAGTCTGTTGC